ACATGAAATTCGAACATATTTTTGCTCCACGATACGAACAAAAACTCACCATACGATGTTACATTAGTTCACATTTTTCATTTGTTTTTCTTACTACAGTTATTTTTTTTAATGTATTACTTGGCTTTAATTAGAGAATGTTTTTCGCGTTGGAACGAATTATTTGGTTTTACATGTAATCGTATGGGAAAAGATGATTCACCTTACGACATTTTCATGATACGATCTCAGTTTCGGAACGGATTAATTTCGTATCCTGAGGTACCACTGTATATAAATTTCAGAATCTTAGCATTTTCCCCCATGTCTGTACAGTTAGTATTTTTCTGAAAAGACTGAATCTGATATACAATTTCATACTTTAAAAGTGTCTTGTATAAGATTAATTTAAGCTTCAATACTTCTTCATACATTTAGTTTAATGCATTTTTTGAAATAAAAATATTGAATTAGAATTAACAATAATCTTTGTACTTTTTATTCAAAAATAATCTAATTTTAAAAACTTACATTCATGTACAAATATTTATAACCAGATAAATAAATTATTTTTCATTACTTTGAAAATTTTAATGTATCTTTTATTAAAATCTCTATTAAGCAAAACGTAACAGGAAATCCATTTAATTTTATGAATAACATCTGTAAGATTGTTATGAAATAGATGGTATCTCATTCCTAATTACAGTAGTTATTAATATTTAAGCTACATTATTAGTACAATACAAGATTGTGTTCTCGTTTTATCCACATAATGTTTGCTTTCACAATGACAAAATTATTATGAATTAGATATATGATCAATGGTGTACCGAATACATTATATCTGCATGTATTCAGCATTCTGCTTCATCACATTGTCAACACCAGCCATATCTAGATGATAACTTTTACTTGAAGGAAGTTTCTTTTACTATTATTCACGAAAAGTCATTGTTTAAATTTTATTTGTGTTTATAGTTTTCTTATCTATTAATGGAGAAATAATTTAATAGATTATCTAAATACAAATTAGAGATAATCAATCATATAAGATAAAATGTGCTATTTATTCCTTACGGAATGATAGGAATGGTAATTAGGTTGTCATAGTACAACAATGACGCAACACTGTTAGTAGCCACAAGAGGCTGTTTATCTCCAAAAATTATAAACTAACTTACAAATGATTCATGTTGGAGTAAATTTGATTATATATTCTGAAAGTCTGTCTCTCAAAATGTATTTTGTCTGTACTCTTTCAGGATCTAACTCTTATAGCTTGAAAGAGGCAAAATTCTTTGTTATAAACAAAAAAAATTACATTAAATGTTGTTGTAACAAAATACAAATAAAAGTTATATCATATGAAAGATAATTAAAAATATATTTATTGGGCTGCAATTTTTTCAAATTGCAGATCTATAAATTCCCACTGTCATCCATTCATTTGTCTTTCCTTAATCTTGAGAACGGAGTTAGATAGATGAAATATGAGACCAGATATAAAAACCTTTAGGGACAAGAGACTCCGCTTAACTATATACAAACTTCAAATGGAAATTGGAAGTCACGTTATTTCAGTTTAAAACTTCTCCCCTGAAAGATGTTAGATATATGACTGGCACGACTCTGTCGTTAAAGGCAAACCACTACTAATAATTTGAGGTAGAGAGCATATATTTTAAATTACAGCCTGGAATTGTGATGGTGCCACAATAAGTTGCTCATTTTACACATAGGTTTCATTGTGTAAGAGCCCAGATTTGACAAAAAAATCTGAGAATTAAAATTTAATTTTTGAAATTAAAACTTTGCTATAATTTTTCCCACAATTGTTAAAATTGTAAAGGATATGATTTTATTCCTCTATGGAGTCACTTCCCTTTCAAGATGATGCATCAAATTGTCACCAGGAACGTGACAGCGAGAATTTGCTATTGGACATAGTCATTGAAACATTGCCAAAGGGCAAGGGGACCATGGGGAGCACCCCCAGATAAAATGGCAAGGTCCAACGATGCCAGAGAGAGTTCGTTATTATCGTTAGTTCGCCATCTTTGGACTAGTGGTCACGCCCGATCCCTTTTGGATACCACTTAAGTAGCTGTCGCAAATCCTATGCCTATCTTAAGACATTCAGAAACTTTCACACTTTTTCGATTCATTGAAGCTTCTCCCAAACAACCTTGCAGACCACCAGGACATCGATCAGCTGATTCTTTGATTCCCAACAAGGATCAACCTTGATTTTACTAAGGTATTTATCGACGTGCGGACATTCTATTAAATATTGAATAAGATTTCTTTCAACAAATAAAATTTCAATCAACATTGCAAGATATTCATTTTAGGTCAATACTGTTATTTCTATCCATCAACCAAAGCCGAATATTATCGGGTTAGATAATATAGCCCGATATTATTCGGCTTTAGTTGATGGATAGCTTTAATCGTATCGGGTATAGTAAAGATGTTTGATTACTGTTATTTCACTATTCAGAAAGATTGATGAAAGAAAACAAATATAAATTTGTCTAAACAGTCTTACTGGATATATATTTAATTAATTAAACTTGTTTACTATATTGTAAAGCCTAAAATAGTCAACATACCGTGAGTTACCATTCCAGGAACCATTGCTCCAGGCGCCATAACACCTAATGCAAGACCTGCTTGTGCTTGCTGAGCCTGTCTAGCTNTTCGGATTAACGAGAGTCTACTGTATTAATAAATTTAGAAGTTAATTTTGAATTTAAACAGCATAACAATTTCATTTTGTAAGTATATTACTCTTAAATATATAAAAATAATAACCTTTAAAAGTAATATCGTTATAAAATAATTCAAAAATGCCAACCTCTTTTAGTAATTACGAACAAAACACGAACCACAATGCTCACGTGCATTGAACAACATCTATAAGGAAAAATTGGCAATAATAATAATAATGTCTTTCAACAAAGGTGCCTTTCATTTTGGCAATTATGTCAGAGTCTGTTTTGGCATATTGTATTCTCTAAATTTCATAAAATTTAAGCATAAAAATTAATTTGGATTTATATGTAATTTGAGAACTGTTCAATAAAAAAAATTTAAAATTTAAGTATCTTCGGTTTTTCGTTAATTATTTACTTCGTTCATACAAAATTATAAATAGTTTGCTTACCATTGGTTTATCGTAAAAAGGAAAACCTTGCATGGAACGAAGAGCATTCGTTGCACTATTAATATCTTTAAAAATAACAAAAGCTTGTCCTCTCATTTTAAGGGTTGTTAATGCAACTATGTCCAATATTTGTCCAAATTGTGAAAATATGGCATATAATGATTTTTTCAATTCTGAAAAACAGAATTTATAAAAACAAAAAAAAGAAATTAAAGAAGTGATCTGGGCTTTGGTCTTGGTGGCCAATCAAGCTTCCAGGGTGCAGGTGGTGATCTCATCTTGCAGCCTGTGCAATGCAAGAAAAAGGGACACTCGGACCTACCCAGATGGCACCCCTTTTCTAATACATATTTTATAAATTATGTACTTAAAAATTAATATGCTAATTAAAAATTATTATTAAATATATACAGTTATATTAGACAAAATGACGCAACACTGTTAGTAGCCACAAGAGGCTGTTTATCTCCAAAAATTATAAACTAACTTACAAATGATTCATGTTGGAATAAATTTGATTATATATTCTGAAAGTCTGTCTCTCAAAATGTATTTTGTCTGTACTCTTTCAGGATCTAACTCTTATAGCTTGAAAGAGGCAAAATTCTTTGTTATAAACAAAAAAAATTACATTAAATGTTGTTGTAACAAAATACAAATAAAAGTTATATCATATGAAAGATAATTAAAAATATATTTATTGGGCTGCAATTTTTTCAAATTGCAGATCTATAAATTCCCACTGTCATCCATTCATTTGTCTTTCCTTAATCTTGAGAACGGAGTTAGATAGATGAAATATGAGACCAGATATAAAAACCTTTAGGGACAAGAGACTCCGCTTAACTATATACAAACTTCAAATGGAAATTGGAAGTCACGTTATTTCAGTTTAAAACTTCTCCCCTGAAAGATGTTAGATATATGACTGGCACGACTCTGTCGTTAAAGGCAAACCACTACTAATAATTTGAGGTAGAGAGCATATATTTTAAATTACAGCCTGGAATTGTGATGGTGCCACAATAAGTTGCTCATTTTACACATAGGTTTCATTGTGTAAGAGCCCAGATTTGACAAAAAAATCTGAGAATTAAAATTTAATTTTTGAAATTAAAACTTTGCTATAATTTTTCCCACAATTGTTAAAATTGTAAAGGATATGATTTTATTCCTCTATGGAGTCACTTCCCTTTCAAGATGATGCATCAAATTGTCACCAGGAACGTGACAGCGAGAATTTGCTATTGGACATAGTCATTGAAACATTGCCAAAGGGCAAGGGGACCATGGGGAGCACCCCCAGATAAAATGGCAAGGTCCAACGATGCCAGAGAGAGTTCGTTATTATCGTTAGTTCGCCATCTTTGGACTAGTGGTCACGCCCGATCCCTTTTGGATACCACTTAAGTAGCTGTCGCAAATCCTATGCCTATCTTAAGACATTCAGAAACTTTCACACTTTTTCGATTCATTGAAGCTTCTCCCAAACAACCTTGCAGACCACCAGGACATCGATCAGCTGATTCTTTGATTCCCAACAAGGATCAACCTTGATTTTACTAAGGTATTTATCGACGTGCGGACATTCTATTAAATATTGAATAAGATTTCTTTCAACAAATAAAATTTCAATCAACATTGCAAGATATTCATTTTAGGTCAATACTGTTATTTCTATCCATCAACCAAAGCCGAATATTATCGGGTTAGATAATATAGCCCGATATTATTCGGCTTTAGTTGATGGATAGCTTTAATCGTATCGGGTATAGTAAAGATGTTTGATTACTGTTATTTCACTATTCAGAAAGATTGATGAAAGAAAACAAATATAAATTTGTCTAAACAGTCTTACTGGATATATATTTAATTAATTAAACTTGTTTACTATATTGTAAAGCCTAAAATAGTCAACATACCGTGAGTTACCATTCCAGGAACCATTGCTCCAGGCGCCATAACACCTAATGCAAGACCTGCTTGTGCTTGCTGAGCCTGTCTAGCTTGTTCTTTTGCAGCCTTCTTTTTCTGTTTCTTAACGTCAACAGCGTCTTCTTTTGTTTTAGGTTTTGCAGGTCTTTCAACAAAGGTGCCTTTCATTTTGGCAATTATGTCAGAGTCCGTTTTGGCATATTGTATTCTCTAAATTTCATAAAATTTAAGCATAAAAATTAATTTGGATTTATATGTAATTTGAGAACTGTTCAATAAAAAAAATTTAAAATTTAAGTATCTTCGGTTTTTCGTTAATTATTTACTTCGTTCATACAAAATTATAAATAGTTTGCTTACCATTGGTTTATCGTAAAAAGGAAAACCTTGCATGGAACGAAGAGCATTCGTTGCACTATTAATATCTTTAAAAATAACAAAAGCTTGTCCTCTCATTTTNGAGCCCAATGTCAACGCTATGAAAAGGTTAAGTTGAAGCGAGAGTGGGAAATCCACTCCAGCACGGGAACTTCGTAAGTTCACTTCAGTTTTATTTAAGTTCAGTTCGACACAACTGGATATACGTTACTCGCGTCTAAGTTCGACTTGGGAATTTTTTTGTTCAACAATAAATGTGAATTCTTCTTCGTGGAAAAATAAGACATCCCCTGAAAATAAGACCTAGCGCATCTTTGAGAACAAAAATTAATATAAGACACAGTCTTATTTTTGGGGAAACAGGGTAGTATAATGAATTACTTTTACGAAAAGTAATTACAAAAATGTTTACTTTTCTAAATTCAAAAAAATAATTCATAAATTTTTCCAATAAAATAAAGTAATATCCATTTTACACTTAAAGACTTAAGCTGCTACAAGGTTTCATTAAAGAAACAATAGAATAAATATGCTTTACTAACATTATTTTTTAGAATTATTAC